TAGATTAATGAAATCCTTTCTCATTTATGTTTCAGAGGAAACATTCTTTATCTATGTTATACTACTTCCCTGTACTAATCTTACATCACATTGATAGTGACTTCTGATGTTTGGAGAATTGATAAATGAGGTTTTGCCCTAAATTTATTTTATTTCAATAAATAGCTTTTTGTATTTTCACCTTCATTTTTGTTTCATGTGATAGAAATGTCATAATTATCATATTTTACTTTTTTACTCATTAGCATCATATTACATCTATTTCATGGCCAAATTATTTAATATTATATATTCATTTTTTCTGTTATAAAGTTACTTGCTTCAAAGATTTTCTGCTGGATCTTTGATCTGACATCAGATATACTTATTTCTATAGAGAGAAGATAAACCTTGGATTTTTTGGAATATAATTTCTGTAAAAAATATTCAGTAAAAATATTAAAAAAAAAAAGATACTACAAATCATTTTTTCTTCAAAGTTTTCTTTCTCCAGTTTCTATGCTCTTTATGACAGCCTCTTGAAAAATGTCAATTCCCTCAATGTCTTATTTTCTAATTCATATTGATCTCGAGAATATAAATGTCTATAATTTGCTCAATTGAAATGATTGGCTTCATCAAAAGCACAACAATAATTATAGCTGCAAAAATTAATCTACTATGTAAGCAAAAATTATATACTCAATTTTCTTGAGGACACTTGTAAAATCTGACCTAAAGTATGACTTAACATATATACATTTGGGTTGTTGTATGTTATTAAATGAAAAGAATTTTGACCATCCATTTTAAGATCAAGTATTATTCAATCATCTCATTATATAATATTTTATAATAATCTCTATACATAATGGTAGGTAATGAAATCTTTGAATTGCTTTTTAGTGGTTAACTAAATAATAAAATTATTACTTCTATAGTGAATCAGAAATCAAATCAAAATATATACATTACTATTCCTACTTAATTATATTTGTGTTTTATGTTTCTCATCTCTTATTGTATTTTGTGTGGTTTTATAAATAAAATGCAACAAAATTAATTCAAAATGAAAATTGTGATATTCTAAATATAATAAAACTCGTGGATATCAGCATTTAACGTCTTTATGTATGAGAGAGACACTTGGATAGAAATATAGTTGCACATTTTTTTTATCAATACAAGGAATTTTTGTAAAATAATCATACTAGTTTCCAATCCCATCAAAATAGGAATATCAAATATTAATTTTTATTTTTTATGCAAAATCCAGCCAGCTCTTACAAAGTCAGAATCTACAAGCAAAAACATCAAGATGCAAATATTTTTATATGAATTTTACCTATATACTTTTAAAATAGAATTTTACTGGTATACATATTTGTTGTTCGTTTTTTTGTTTTATTTATTATAATAACAGTTATCTAAAGGACTTTTTTGAAGAATTAATGCTTTTGAATATATTGTTCACATTATTTTTCTTTGTAAATTTTTTAAAATAAATTATAGTCATACTTTCCAGTTTTTACCCAAAATGACCAGAAAAAATAAATGAATCTCTTCTCCAAAAAGAAATTGCATAAAAATCCACAATATTCCCACAACCTACACAGGAAAAAAAAAAAAAAAAAAAAAGTAATGTTTCTATTTTGCTTTGGATTAGTTAATATTTTTGAGAGAAATATCGATCCTATGTTGATTTTGCAGTTGCTGGCTTGAATTTGTTTTCGTTTTTTTTTTTTATTCCCAAAGGTCTTGCTGAAATTCTCTCCCCTGATCTGTTTTTTTTTTAGTCTTGTGAAAATCTCAGCAGTGCATGCAGAAATTCTGCTTGACTTATGCATTTGAAAGACAAATCTTTTGATGTTATTACTTTATTTTATTTATTTTCTTTTGTTCTATTTGTTGTTACCTTGAGTCACCAAATGCTATCAATCACTCATTGTTTGGTGAAATGGATTTTATAGTGAACACATGACTGTAAAATTGTTCTATAAACCCCTAACCTGCTTTCTAGAATGAAATGAAAACAAAAAAAAGAAGCCTACAGCATTAACATAACATACCCTTCCCAACAGAATTCCTCATCAATATACTCAACAAACATTCATTTTCCATTTTTGCCTTTCGTGAGTAAGTCTGTTATTGACGGAAAACATTCCTACAATGTGGAATGGATTTTTAAAGAATTTGTTTTAGATATAAAAATCTACCAGTGTGATGATGCTAGATTGATGTTCTCTATAATGAACATTTTTCATTCTTTACTAGTTTCTTTAAAAATAGTAGAAATAATTTTTAATCAAAATGTTCTAGTTTTCTTTCTCAGGTTTCTTTCTTCTTGAAAAATGTCTATTTTCTCAATGTCTCATTTTCTAATGAATCACATATTGATTTCAATAATGTTGATTTCAAGAACATGAATTTTTATAGTTTGCTCATTTGAGTTAACTGGTTTTGTCAAAAGCACAAAAAATATAATGGCAGAAATGAATTTTTACACTTTTCTTTATTTGAAGAAATTGTGACTTTTATTTCTATATACCTTTGTCTGTCTCATATAAGAATTAATTCTATAATACAGTCAGTGGCAATATTATCTCAAGATATATTCACTATATTGTTGCCATAACAACTTGTTACATTTTTCATTAATTTTGACAAATACTTCCATTATGATAAAACTTGTAGTCTTACACTAGTTAATACCTATATATATATATATATATATATATATATATATATATATATATATATATATATATATATATATGAATGCAGGATATATTAAGATTATAAAATAATTATTTTAAGAATTCAGGGTATCTTTAGTTTTTTTTTATAAATGAGTGTGGTTTATCTTAATCAAGATTATAAAATATTAAAATAGGTTTATTAACATTTAATAGAGATAAAATTAATTTGCTGTTTACCATCTAAAGTACCTGCACAAGATTTTTTTATAAAAAATATGTAATTGTTATTAATATAGAAAATTGTTGTTTTGAGTTGTTAATGACCTTGCATTATTTTATAGGTTAAACCACTTTTATTCATTCCATAGTTAAAATAGGCTCATTAAATTATTTAAGAAAACTGTGCAATATAGATTACAGTAGTGAAATAAACAGTTAAAACTGAGTCACTTAAGTAGTATATTATATTTTGAGAGTATAATATTTAACATAAACAAAATTCTATGAAAGAAAATAGTAGAATAGGAAATTTTAGTTAAGAACCCGACAACCAGCAATAACATTGCTATTTTAAAAATAATAAATCATCACATTAAGTAAAGATCATTGGCATATTTTTTTTAAGTGTTAAAATGTTTTTTGTACTGAAACTCTGACTCTCTGTATGAGGAATCACTGTCAAGTTATAGCTCTTCCTAGTCATCAGCTTTGAGTCCCTCTACATGTGTATTCTGTGCTCTGTCAGTAAGTTTAATGTGGCAGTGACACTTAGTCTTACGCAACCTTGACAGTCTGGGTTGAAATGGTGCTTTGTGTTATAGTCTTTAAGCAACTGTGAAGTTGCTTTGTTTTTGCCTAATGAAAAGTGACTGTTCTCAATTATATGTTGTACTGCATGTTTTGCTTGCTCATTGTTACATGTGCTTTGGTTGCTTTTTGCTTTTATTTTCGTTATGATTTTTTTCTTTTTCTTACACTTTAATAGTTTTGTTTTTTTTTTTTTTTACATATATATATTCTCTAAAGTAGAAATGTTTTAATTTGTAAACTTTTCAAGTTTAATATTTTTTTCTTTTTACAAGTTAGATGATATTTTTCTGAACCTGTTTAATTTCATAGATTGAAAAATAACCTTTTTTTAAAAAAAAGATTTGCATGTTTATTTGATTAGTTGAATTCAAGTAGCTTCAAGTGTTCTTCTGTCTGAGAAATTCTTTTGTAGCTACTTTAGTTTTCTCTTGCACTCTTTCCCAGTTTTTATGCTGGTACTACTAATAATTGAGAATCTACAGTCACCAAAGAGTGAATTACCCTTTTGAAATAAATAGGATAGTTATGTTTGGGATGGGGAATAATATATTTTATTACAACCAAGAAGTCAAGCTCAACAGAAAATTGTTTCTTATTGCTCCTGTAAATAAGAACTGTTGAATACAAGCAAAAGTGAAAACCAGTGAAAGGTTAATGGTCTTTTTTGTAGTATAGTAGAATGAGTAGTAGTAGTCTGATTGTTTGATTATTAAATCTAGACATAATGATTATTTTTTTTCATTTTTATGATTGTTTTAAATAGTTTACTGTTTCATTCATGACATTGTTTATATGAAACTATTTAAAGGTTATTTTTGAATTGATTGATTATGTTTTCCATGGAAGCTACATTGAAAAAAAGAATATTTCTCATTTGACAAATAAGCGTTCTTTAAAAAGAAAAAAAAGAAAAATTAAGGAATTTTTTTTTCAATGTTGCTTTTTTGAAAATTGCAAAGAATTAGAATAATTGATTTTTAAAACTTGCAATAAATATTATTTTGACTTAAATGATTTGATTGATTACTGTTACATATTTGAACTATTTTGTAAAAAGAAATGACACCAATAAATACTGGTGGCTGCAAACAGACTTAAAGTGGTTTACACTTCTTGCAATATGAAACTGAGAATATATCTTACAGAGATACTATCATATCCTGTGTCCTTCTGTCACATCTTTCATATAGCTTATTAAGGACTCAGGATGTGAACAGTTTGTAAGATAAAAGACAGAGAACACTTGAAATAGCTTAAACATTATTAGCATGTAAACAAATCAGCCTCACATCATTTGTAAATTTATTAAACAAATTATTTAAAAATTAAGCATGGGTTCTTATTTTAATGAATTTTGTAAATACTTAAAATAGTTTTTTCTTATTTATACACCTTATTTATTTTCATTTCTAAACCTAAGCATTCAATTGTGTAACCAAATGATGAATATTGAGGGAGAAGATACATCATTTTCCTTTTATCTTGTAGAACTATTTCCGTGATCGATGGAATATGTTTGACTTTATCATTGTGATCGGAAGTATAATTGATGTAGTTACCACCAATGTTCTGCCCAGTGTAAGTATGCTGAGTTTGTTGTAGCTGAGTAGTTTTCAATACTAAATGTATCTTTTGATACTAGAGAAAGAAGGATTGGTGTTGATCATGTTAATTTTGTTTTTTTTCTTACAGATTACATATAATGGTGTATAAAAAGTATTTTTTTTGACATCTTGAGAGCTCCAGTACATTTTTTTTAGGTTTATGTAATGTTCTACATGTAGGATCATTTGATGACCCTAGATCTTTTGAAAGTTTTTGAGTACTGGTGGCTAGGTTTTTTTTCAGCCTTCATTTTAAAGTATCATAATCAACTACTTAAGGGTTTATTTCAAGGGACAAGTCACCACTCTTATAACATTTAAACCAGTTTTGTACAGTTAAATATAGTTTCAGTTCATTTCACTTATCAAGTTGCTGTGAGTGGCTTCAGAGACTTTATGGTTTAAATAAATGAATAAATTGCCAGAATCTCGGTACTTATATCTGCCATTAAAACATCTAAAATAAAAGGTACAGCTGAATAGAGCTGACAATGATATATATTATAATACTAATAATAGAATGGAATCATTGATTGTCTTTAGATTTGAACATGAAATACAATCTCAAGTAAAAGTCTAAATAAACAAATATTTTTGATACACCCTAATATTTTATAATTCTACATGGCATTTTTCAAAATCTATTGTAATTTACCACTAAAAATTATTCATGTGCAAATATTTGCCTAAAATATGAAGAAATTAATAAGTAACTGCCTTTATTAAAAATCACATTCATAATCAATGCTTGCTATCAGAACATAAAAAAGCCTGAAGAGATTTTAAATATACAACAAATTTTGTATATTGATTGTATCTTCTTAAAAAGCTCATTAAAAGTTTTATTTCTGGCAAATTATGTTAAGATTTTATTTTTACCTTCCTGATACCTGTAATAAAAATTTTGGATTTTATGTTTGTTTCACTCGGTGTTTGAAGAAGTTAATAATTATCTATGCTGATGGTATTATTCTTGTATTCATATTGTTGCAAGCTGGTCGAGATCATCTTCATTATAAATATCAAAGCTAGGTAAATTGTTTTTATATCTTTTTTTTCCAAGTTACAAATGATATGGTAGTATTAATGAACCCTTTTGCTTTACTTTCATCTTTTTGTTATTTCTTTTAGTAAGTCTCAATAGAATTCAATTTCACTAAATCTTAAAATAGTTGGCACCTTTTTATAAAGAACTATCATTTTCAAGCAGTTTGCAATGTACCGTATTTTGCATCATAGAAGATATGCTTTTTATTTCAAAATCTGAGTCTCAAGATCATCCTGCATTCCTCCATGTTGACCGTCAAGCTTGCAATCTATAAATGATTCCAGTTTAATCACCAACGTAATTTTAGAATGTATATCCTTAATCCTGAGTCCAATCAGTCTTTCAGTTTTTATGGTGATCATATATTAACTTGTCATTTTATTTTATGAGGTATGATTGCAAGATTTGGCCTTATTTTTGTAAATTTTATCCATGGCAAGAGGAAGTGGATTCCACTCCTGGTTGTCCTTTTTTGAGTGATCTGCCCTACTGTTTTACTCATAGCTGTTGGGAAAAAAGCATTAGTGCAGAGAGAACACTGGAACACAAATTGTCTCAACCAGAATTTGAATTCAGCTTGCTGATGGCATCTTCTGTGTTATTAACTGCTATGTCATATGCACCTCCCAAAATAGGGTATATTTTCCAAACATATTTCATGCTCAATTTACAGTGCATTCTATATGCCAGTATGTCTTATATGCCACAAAATACGGTAAATATTCTAGATTTTCTGGCAGTGTTTTCATGATTCTGTTTCCTTCACCTAAAACTGCATGAATAGACTGCTGCTCATTAGGAACTAATTCTTTAATTACTTCTGCCAACGAAGTTGAACAGAGGTTATATATTCATCTATGTTTGCTTCTCTGCCTGTTTTATTGTCCACACAATATCACTAAAAGTTCTCAGTAAATTTCAACAATATTTTATGGAATGGTGGGCTGTGTGCCAAGAAACAGTTCATTAAATTTTGAGGTAAGCAGAGGCCACAATTTCTGTTTTTTTTTTTTAAATATTTTATGTAGTAAGATATTGAAACTTACATTTATCTCCCCATGAACTGATTTTCATTAAGTTTTAGTGATGATGGCGTTGGCAGAGGTATGCACTCTCTAAGTGCTTTTTAATTCTTTCCTTGACACACTTAATGCAAATGAATTAGTATCCAAGTTTATTTGGAATTCTGTGAATAATAATTTTCCTTTAGATGCATGAAAACCTTGTACTGTTTAAGTAGACAAAACATTTTTAAAAATATCATTTCTTACCTAGCAAATCAGAAATTTAGTTTGTTTTATAGAATATTTTTGCTGTAGGTTTTATTCTTAATGAAATAGTTTTAGTATGAATTTTGAAAAACAGTAGTAATCATAGATAAGTCTTATATACTTTGTTTTTATTTGGTTAGAGATTTAACACTAGTAACTTGTAATGTTTTCATTATGTTTTTTTTTTTTAAATGTTTTTAAAATTAGTTCTCAGTTTAATGAGCACAGATTGGAATAGTTTGGGGCTTGCTGGCAATTCAAAATATTGCATTTTGCTTTCTCCATTTGTTGAAAAAATTGTATATTTAAAAAAACATTCCTTTATAGGCTTCATCCTTTCGGACCGGAAGTTTCCGACTTTTCCGAGCTGCACGTCTTATCAAACTACTGCGACAGGGTTATACCATCAGATTACTCCTGTGGACATTTCTACAGTCTTTTAAAGTAAGTACTAATAGTAATATCAACTTATTTTTACAAATTTGACCATACAGTGACAGTCAAAAGATTTTAAACACAAACAAAATGAATGAGACTTGAGCACTAACTGAAATCACTAGGATTTTTGGAAGGTTTGAAATTTGAAACATGTTGAAGAAATGTATTAATCAATTAAAATCCTGTGTCTATTATACAGTCAATCCCTCATCTTAATGGAACTTCAAGGCTACACTTTTCCATATGACATCACTCTCCCTCGGTATATACCTTGAGAAATATAAATATAATATATTGAGAAGCATAATAATAATGACTGGCTGCCATTATTGTACCCAGTATAACCATCTGTTAGTGTGGCTAGCTAATCTCTGTTGCAGATGCCTGCTCAGGCACATTTGTATTTCTTCAACACCCACATGACAATCTCTGATTTATACTACAACTATGCTGAGCAGATTTTAGTTACAGTTTCTGGGAGGTATAATCAGTAGTTGTACATGGCCAGCACATACAAATTCTGTCACTATGACTTGTGACTTCTTGTTACCAAAACCATTGACAGTTTTTAAACAGTTTTGTCTACCCAATTTCATTCACAAGGTTTGGTATGATTTTCTGTCACTTCCCAACTGTATACATCTCACTAGACTGTTAATAAAATCACATTCTTGACAAATCACTAATATTGAAATTTGGACCCAGATTTCATGGTTGGAATGTTAATATTCTAACCACTCAGCCACATGCCCCTAGAATATCAAGTTGTAACTAGTGAACCATAATGTTTCTTTTGTTACCTAAAACCAAAATTAACCTGATTTCAGTACTATAAGGCCATCCTCCCAAGCAACATCTCTGTATTGTACTAAATGAAGTCAGGTCATACTCAATCCATCAAGTCTGAGGTATTCCAAAAGGGGAATACCAAGAGAACTGGACAATTTCTGGCACTGCTCATATGTCTGAATATGAGGCTTCACATAAATTGTGTCTTTTTGGGTGAGTAGGTAAATCTTATCTGAGTCATGGACTGACCAACTAGCAAATGTGATTTATTATTAAGTAGAGAATTGCTGAACAAACATTACAGTGGCATCAAAGAACTGAAGAAATCTCTGATGAACATTTAGGTCATCAAAGTGATACTTGAACAATTTTGGACCTTGACAGTCCCCATACCTTGAATAAGTAAAGGAATCACCAAGAACAATAGTTACTGTACTAAATACTGAATAATTTAACTGAATTTGTAATGTAAAATATATTGCTTTATGTTTAATAAATATTCCGCTTCCTTGTCTCAATCATTCTCTCTATTTTCATGTGATATAATAACAGAAAATGGAAAGTGTGACACTCTGATCTAAAAGGCCTTTTAGAAACTAAGGAAAATGTTAAGACAGGAATATTACATTACAAACAAAGAAAAGTGTTCTGTTATATCTATCCTCCTGTACAGCTGTGAGTATTGGACATCTCTTTACAAATGAAGAAGAGACTAAATGTGACAGAGAGGTGGTTCTACAGTCAGGTCCTGAGAATACCATGGACAGATCATAGAAACAATGAGGAAGTTCTAAAGAAAATGGGAACTAGAAAGATACTTGTACTTAAAATCAGAAAGAGTTGAAATTTTTAGGACATGAGGAAGCACGGCTTGGAAAATTTAATACTCACAGGATGTACTGAGAAAAGGAAGGGTAGAAGGAAACAGCAAGTAATTTACTTAATGAGATTGTGTGAATGGATGGCATAACAGGGACAATGAGGGATGGTAAAGAGTGAGGCTTTGCTTAGAGCTACGAGAAACAGAAAGTTGTAGAGAGCTATAACTGCACACATCCTGAAAGGACACTGCATATAAATGATGACAAAAGGAATTTTTTGCTGCCACTGCAGGTATAGATTATCATCTCATGAAATTTTGATAATGATAGATTTTTAAATATATAAAAAAAAAAGAGAACAACAGCATTTCATTTAGAAGTTACTTTTGGTCTATTGTTATTTTAGAATTGATTTTTTGTTGACAAAACATACAAAAAAGTTTATAATTAATTATTTATTTTGGTTGCTATCAACAATTGTGTGAACTCTTATTGTCAATTCAAAAGTTGCTTAGCAAGGATGGAATTGGAGTATATTCCTATCTAAATAAATGCCTGTATTACATAGGTTTCTGAATAAGTGTGGTTCATCTTTTTGGGAATGAGCCAAGCTAGTCAGTATTTTAGCCGCTGTTTCTTTTACTGTTCACCAATTATTTCTGTATAAAAAGACTCTTTTCTTATGTATTCCAAAAAGAAAGCTGCAGAATAGCTTGATCAAAACACTACAGTAACAAAAGCAATACATAGATTGAATTTAGTTAACCAAACTACTTCTGAAATTCATAACAGTATTAAATATAAATATATATTTCCTTAGATGTGAATGTTTATTTGGAGATCATGGCTAATTTTATTACTATTATTTTTTATTTTTTTTATTTTTCAGGCCTTGCCTTATGTGTGCCTTCTGATTGCAATGCTTTTTTTCATTTATGCCATCATCGGAATGCAGGTGGGTAGCATGTACACGGACACCCAGAATAATGACTTACAAATCAAGACAGGTGGACATGCATATGTACCGACACAGATCTATAATTTTAGCTAAGAAGTTATAATTTTTTATCCAAAATAGATAATAGTTATATTTATAGCCAAAAAGTTATAGTCTTATCTATAGATCTAACTATTTTGTTATAGAGGAAATTCTATTCTATTCATTTTATTATAAAGAAACCATTATTGGTTTCTCTTTATCATCACCTGTGTATTAACTAACCTTTTTCTAGCCATATCTAAAAAAAAAAAAAATAAATAAACAACCCTTTAAAACCAAACACTTTGCTAAAATACCTACTTAAACAGATCATTTAAATGAGCTTCAGAATGATCCAGTATAGCAAGAATATTTAAACTGATTTCATTATTATTGGTATTGTATGATCATAAATATGGAATATATAATCAAGAAAATCCTGTAAGATAATCAAATGTTATTAAAGCTTTGTAAACAAGAAAAAGGTAATTGCCTGTATTAAAAATATATCTACAGTTTACAAATTAAGTAAAAATTAGCTTGTGTTAATAATATATCTACATCTTTGAAAACTGTTAAACATACTGTCATATTTCTATATCTACAGCTTTTTAAAAGTAAAAATGCCTGTATTTATAATATTTCTACCATTTTGAAAATAAGTAAGAAAAAAATAAATTCTCTGCTGTATCTATAGTTTTTAAGTTCTACTTTCAATCTTTTCCACAATTTAAATCTTCTAAATATTTTCTCTTTTTAAAATATAAATATGCTAACTTCTGAAAGAATTTTTAAATTCTTTCTGAAGTTGGCATATAGAAATATCCCAAAAATATTGCAATTTCTTCAGATTTTGCATATCTTATAGAGAAATATGAAAATAAGTAATATCTTTTTCAGATTTTGATCAAAGATTTATAATACATTGATTACTAGAGACTGTGCTTAATTCTAAATGTAATTATTGCTTCATTTTTATGGTTTTTGTCTGAACAAATGAATCAAGCTAAACTTGTCGATAATTACGTTAATTCATTGCAAAATTGAAAGAAGTTTGCAATTAGGTAAACTTTGAGTATGATGTTAATCATGCTGTAATTAAATAATGAGTTTTTTTTTATATATGGCATTAACCTAGAAGCTAAAATATATATATATATATATATATATATGATATTAACCTAAAAGATCTCCCAAACATTAGAACTAAATAACTGAATAAATTGCATTGCTAAATCACAAACATTCATTATGCTAAAAGACTACAAAGAAATTACAAAACTAATTCAACATGCAGGTACATAAAACCAATGCAACGTGAACTAGGAAAAATAAGTAAAATAATACTAGAAAGAATTAACTCAGAACTAATAATGAAATTAGGAGTAAACTGATGGAAAAACAGGAAAACAACCACAGGCGTGTTCTATAATCTAAAAAACAAACATAATTGTGAATTTATATAACTAGATATGAAAGAATTTTATCCTTCCTTTTAAAAACTCATGCTAGATAAAGCCATCAGCTTGGCTCAGGAACACATAAAAATAAGTACAAATGAATTAAGTCATTAAGCACTGCCAAAAATCACTATTATTTGACAACAAAGCTGCTTGGCTAAGAAAGAATGACTGACATTACATTGGGAAGTTTTGCTAAGCAAAATAACCAACAAAAAAATATCGGCCTCTACATTGATGACAGTCTAAGGCACTTTAACAGACAAAACCAGAAAAGTAATTGCAAACATTTTCAAAAATATAGGATTTGATATGGACATAAAAGCAAACCTAAAAGAAATAGATTTTTTAAATGTCACACTCAACCTAAAAAGGTACATATTAGCCATATAGAAAACCTAATGACAAACCTCTTTACATTGTTACAAATTTGCACCATATAAAGATATGAACCACAGGTTCAAAAAAAAAGAAAAAGGTTGGTTCATTCACATAGGAACACAAACAGGTACCGATGAACAACAAACACAGGATTAATATTTGTAAATAAGTTTTATATAACAAAATACAAAATATAGAAAAAGTATGGAGGGAAAGACATACAGTTAATAAAAAGACACTTAACTGATATTGGATGTCAGTTCAAACATTTGTGGCAGGAATTTGGAGTTTGAATGTTCATAATGACAAACAGACAAAGTTGCTGTAGAATGTTCACAAAAGTTCTTCCTTCCACATTTCTGGAATAATTGTGTTCCGTTTCCCCTTGGTTAATTGGATTGGATCCAAGATGAAAGTATGATGATTCCTTTGTATCTAGTTGGGTACAATATCCCTTTATTTTTTACCCATTAAATAGTCAAATAGACCCAAGATCTCCAGGAGAAAATTCCTTATTCCCTATACAACAAGTAATGGAATATGCTTGTGGATGTATTTCACATCCTTCACGATCATATGATAAGAGTCTATTTTTCTCACAAACTGTTATTCTTGGAGGTCATCGGGGAAACTAAAGTTACAATATCAAAATTCCATTTGGTGATGTATGTCACATGAGCATAGTTGACCTATTCTTACTCCCTTTCTTAGGTCATTCTGTTTGTTATCAAGCAATCCCAAATTCCCTTCCTATTGTTTCTTGGGAGGTCATTCTGTTTTTTGTCAAGCGACCCTAAATTCTTTTCTTAACCTTTCTTTACTGAAACAAGACTCAGTCCAGATAACTAGTAAACTAGTAAAAAAGAGAGAACAAGGAGAAAGAGAAGCACAAAGACAGCACATCTTTTATTAAAATGATTGTATATCTGATTTAACAGTTAACATTGAGGGCCATGTCACAGCATACACACATCTTCCAACCACCCAGAAACAATAACCAAGCAGATCCCACAATCATCTAACAATTCTTCTAATGAAACAATCAACAAAGCCAAAAAGATAGTAAATTTTCAGCAACACACCAGACAGTATAAAAAAAACAACATGAAAAGAAAAATCATATAGCCTACTGTATAACAAAAACATAAAAACAAATATAGGAAAAATATTGATTAAATTCATCCACAAACATTCCCCACCCCCATCAAGCACTCTCCACAAGATATTCCACAGTAAAAATCAACTACAGTTGCACTGTGAACATGACACAACAGAAAAATAGTCAAGAAATCACCTGCACAAACCAAACCCATCTGGAACTGCAAAGAATATCCCTTAATGCAATTGCCTGTGAAATAATATAATATACCAAGCCATTGTAAAAACAGCAGACAATGAAGAAAAAATATACATAGGAGTAACTGAAGTGCTTTAATCACTAGATCATCCACAGTAAATTTGCATCCAGGTCCTTAGAACACTTCACATTTCTTAGCACATCTATTCTCACAATGTGGGATATTTAATAACAAAAGCAATAAAAACATAAAGAAAAAGAAAGTAATTGAAATCTGCTAGACTATATACCCATATATTAAAAATATTTAAGTTGAAAAGTTTAAAATTTCAGTGACCCTCCCTTTCATTCACATGTACAGCCATATTAATGTAACTATCACCTTAGTTTGATGAAGTCCTAAAGGATGAAATGCATGACATGAAAAATTGTTTTCACTTTGTCATTGATTTCCCTAACATTGTTCTGGTATATAAAATTTATATATTTTTTTCTATATATATATATATATATATATATATATATATATATATATATATATTAATAAATATACATATTATTCTTCACCAATAGCATGACTCATTTTCATGCACAATGCAATCTTCAGGTGCTGAGTACATATTCAGTTTATTTGGACAGTAATTTTAATTTTTTTATTTGTTTTTTAATATTTTTTATTTGAAGATTAATGAGAGTTATTTGTTCTAAGACTTTTTATTTAATTTTTGTACAGGTTAGACGATTTTCTTGGTTTCTGGGGAGAATTTGAGCATAAAGTCTGAAAGTACTTGGAAGATATTGGGCAATTAATACTAAAATTTTACCTGGAAACCAGAAAATTGATCTGAACTATAGAAAAAAGTGGAAAATTCTTAAACAAAGAATTTTCATTGGTCCGCAGGGTGCGATGGATAAATTGTCATCTAATTTATGCAAAAGTAAAAATAACACTGACATCTCATTTTAACAAATATGTTTACCAAAAATATCTTGAAATACTAAAGAGTAAATTTATTCAATAAAATCACTATTGGCTTCAACCATAGCCTTCAGAATTTCCTGCAACTCTTCTGGATGGTCTCCTTGTTTAAGTTGGTGAATGGTGCCATAATCCTTGTCTTCACTTCATCTTTGGTTTTACAAGGAATTTTGTTGGTTTCTCGCTCAGCTGCACCCTACACATAATAATCAAGGGTGTTGCAGTCTGGAGAGTTAGGTGACCAGTTATAAGGGGTGTCGTGGTCATGGAAATTGTATGACAACCATGACTACTTTCTTGTGCTTGTGTGGCATGGTGCAGTGTCCTGTTGCCAGACATAGGATCTTCTAGCAGCCACTCTCTTGATCCAGGGTAGCACTACTTCCTCAAGGCACTTGATGTAGGCCTCTGTGTTGAGGCTGATACCCTGTGGGAAGACAAATGGAGGCATTATATCACCATCACTAGTGATCACTCCAAACGTCTTCATCATCACCATTAGACTCATCTAACCCTTTCCGAATCTCCTGCACTGTCCTCATATTGACACCCAAACACTCTGAAATGTTTGTCTTGGAGCTTCCAGTGCGAATACCAAGCAGTACAGCATGCTGTTTCCAAATTTCTGGCAGATTGAATTGTGTCATGGTGCTCTTTTTCTTACAGATGGTGCTCAACTCCTCCTACTATACTATGCAGTTGACAAAATCAAAAACAAACAACATGTATGCGTGAAATTAAAAATATAAAATAGTGACACTTTCACACCCTGTGTGTGTGTGTGTGTGTATATAGTGTCATCCACAGACAGACTGTTTTGCTGTATCACAGCTCTTCAGTGTGGCTAGACATCTGATTGCTTCAAGCCATGATTGAAACCCAACTGATTTGGCATCAGTCAGAGATCCTACCCATAGGTTATCATCACATATCAGGGAGAAAGGAAAATTTTAACGTTTTCTATACGAAATACACCAGTGTCCCGGAGAGCTCAATTCAGTTGAAGAGCAATATACATATATATATGTGTGTGTGTGGACAATGGAAGCGACAGGCCATGTTTAAATTCTAGTCAAAACTGTTGCATTCACTTTACATTAAGACCTTTGAAAAAGGCATGAATCCATTTCTGGATATGGATTAAATAGCAAATCAGACTGTGCTCTTTACACTTAGGAGGGCAGCTAGTCTAAGAGAAGGATAACTTTGAATTCAATCACCCTCCCAACACAGCAGAGTATGGACCATTACTTCATGTCTAACATACTTGCTGAAGGTCTCAGTTCTGTAGTGGACTGAAAAGATGTCTGATATGAAAAATATAATATTAATTAAACTATAATCATATAAAATTTATTGTTTGGTATTTTTTCTGCACTAAACCTTTTAAAATGACTTTTTTTTTACTCAACCTCTTATTTATTTTGTGTTCTGTTTCAGGTTTTTGGGAATATTCGACTTGATTCCAAGACTTCCATCAACAGGCATAACAATTTCAGATCATTCTTTTACGCCGTTTTACTCCTATTCAGGTAACATTCTAACAACTGAATAATACTAAAAATTGGCTTTTCTTGCATTTATCTGAATTTCTTAGATAAATCATTATTTTTATTATTTAGACTAGTTTTTCTCATTTTGATAAATTATTGACATCAATTGTTTCTCAAATTATTAATGACACTCTTTCCTCTCATAAATTTGAACAATTTAAAAATCTTGTCTAATACTATTACAGTATTGCACAAATTAAATTAATCATTTCTCAATTGATTTGGCTATTTTTGGAGTAAAATTATTTTCTTTATAATAATTTACAAAAATCAAATGTTCCCTACTGATTTTTAGAAATCAGTCACATTTTATATAAATTTCATTTAATATTCATCATAGTTATATGGTGTTAATTTAATATCTACTTCATTAACACCAACCACACAAATATTGTATTTGTGCTCAGAACTTGCAGAAGGGTAATGATGTTATTCTTGAGTGTTCCTGAAAAAAACTTTTTAGATATTCTTTTCAATTCTGTGAAAAATTCTTTAATAAAATTAATCATCAGGAAATAAAAGGAAGATATTTTATTTTGTAGTTTTTAGGAAGTTGTCCATTTTCAATGCTTTTGTGATTAGATGTATTGTCCATTATAAAGTTAATCTTCGAGTACATTGTTAAAAGAAATTAGTGAAGTCAGATATTTTTATTAGTTTCAATGTGAATGAGTAAAGAGATAGTAACAGAGACAAATACATAAGCTTAACTCCACTGGTTGAAGGTCAATTAAAAAATGGGCAATAGCTTCTTTTAAATCTGACAAACAAATGGAAATCTCAAATATTGTAGTTAGTTTCAATAATGCAAACTCTTTGAATATTTATTGTATTATTTTCATGCCAAATTGCAATTTATTGGAGATCTCTTTGTGTATTTGTTATTTTGTATGTGTTGTATAATAAATGTTGTTCTTCCCCTGAGAGTACGCATCCATGTCATGTGTGCACAGTCTTGAAATCAAAACTCTGAAGAAGACAAAGTTCCATACATCAACAGGTTTATTAATAACCAAAAGAGTAAAACTGGAAGAGAAATAAATACAAATAAGATTAGTTAGTCTAAAAATACAAACAAACACGCTTAACAAGAAATAACAAAGGCAGCCAAAGGCTGTTGGGGAGGCAGAAATGTATAACCTGGAAGAGAGAGCCTTATTGTTGTTGTTATTGTTGTGGCAGTTAATTCCTTCTCCACCTCAGCAAGCATAAATTCAAATAAAAAAGAATACATCTGAGTGTATGCAAATAAATGTATAATTTATTTACATACATACCTAACTAGTAACTTTTATCTGTTGCTGTTTCTAAGGTAACAAGGAGAGAGAATGGCAAAATTGGACATTGCTGATGGCTGTTGTTGTTGTTTCTTTCTCAGTGCTTTGGTGTTGACATGAAGACTGGTTTGTGTCTTGTCTCTCAACTTGCTGTTGTTGACATCCAAGTTGGTTTGTGTTGAGTTTGTTTCAATTAGAGAATATATAACCATTGCTTGGTTCTGAATTAAAATTTTGGATTTTGGAGTGAGAGTGGCTATGACTGGTCAATAAATTGTTCACTTTAGGCATGGAGCCTTATGCACAGAAAATGAATTTACGCAGTCTGCATTAGGTTGTCAAGCAGTCAACATCCAGTTTGTGTAGAAAAATATAAGCACAACAAGGCTTGGATATAAAACTGAGACCATTTGTCTAATAAATGGGTGAAGAAGGTAGCGAGTAATCCATATACATGAATACCTATAAAGTTTGCTATGAGAATACATTCCAATACTGCAGTGAGTTTGTGGCAAAGGAAGTTACAAGGTTACATTTGCAGTAGTGTATGTGGCCACATGTTAAAAGGATTTTACACACAGAGCTACAAACATAAAATAGATTGTATAAAATAAGACTACATTAAACAAATGTTCAAATAATAACACAGAAATAAAATAGACAAATGTAAAGAGAAAGTTAGCAAAAACTACAAACTGATGATAGTTAATTTTGGGAATCAAATTAAGTGGATAAAACTATCGATTACATGCTTAGTGTGATGCCTTTATTTTTTCATTTATTCATGCTATGGGCTAACAGATGTGGTCAAAACATTGACCCACCTAAAAAGTACCTAACCTACGAAATTAATAATGAAAACTGTAATGTAGTAATGAAGAATGTAGCTATATGCTTAAATTTCAATGATGTCTATAGATCTACTTTTGTAGCCTTATTCGAAAGGTGATCCTCCAGTTGGACAGACCACCAAAGGTATAAGATATGGTCTCAACTCTTGCCAAAAAATAATTCTTTATTTCTGATCTATGCTGCCTTATTTCAAATAAAGATTAATAGTAACCAAACTTTTTTACAGCCTGGTAATTTAACTCTAACTGAACAGCAATTCAATATTATAATTGAATGGCAGCAGTCTATTTCATGCTTGAACTAAATCTTCAGATCATGTGGGTTGGGTGGCAGTAGGTCAGCTATATATACTAGTCATTGGGTCTATTATGGGTAGCAAGAATAACCATTAGAATAACACAATAAACTGGAAATAACTGACCTTGCTACCCATAATGCCTCAATGACTAGCATGCATATATAAATAGTCAAGTTACTACCCAATCAACATGGTCTGAAGATTGTATTCAAACCTGAAACAGACTGTCAACACTTACATTTCTCCCCCTCTCTTTCTTTCTTTATACATATATATATATATATATATATATATATATATATATATATATCAAAGTATATAATTGGTATACACGGAATGAATTCCAATAACCAACAATTACTATTCTTAAAAGAGTGCTCAATACAAAGTAGAGCTTTTAAAACCATTTATTTTATTTTCAACATCATCACTTGATAAGACACAGAGTGTGTTGAAACAAAATGGCTATTTTTGTAGTGATTTTATAACATACTTATGTTATAATTTTTTATAAAAATAATTATATATATATATATATATATATATATATATATATATATATATTTATATATTGAGAGAGAGAGATAGAGTTAGATAAGAAAGATTGTGTGTTTCACCAAAAGAAAAATCAACTAGAGTATTTCTGGGAGATATTGCTTTTAAGGAAAGCAGCCTTCTTGACTATAGTATTTAATATCAAGAGATAAAGCATTACTAGTAATAAATAAAATTAATCTTACACTTATCTTGTCCCTACTCAGAGTTCTGCAGAGACTAAATCCACTCTTCAGGAGATTTGATTATAAAATTGAATTTATTTTCAGAAAAAATTTTTTCAGAAAATGTATTAAATCTTGCAATCAAGTCTCCTTGCAAGTAAACTCTGAGTAGGGACATGATAACTGAACTTAATTTTATTTATTATTATTTTCTATGTCTCTCTCTCTCTCTCTTTATATATATATATATATATATATATATATATATATATATTGTTTACACTATTTACACTGTTCAGACTGATGTCCTCATCTTTGTTGTCATATTCACAACATTTCGGGGTAGATTGTTCTAGTTCCACATCCCATGCTTCTTCCGGATATCTCAGTTTCAATTATTTCCTATTAGTAACTCAATTCTTTTTGTTCCCCTCTGCTGCAGCCAGCTATTGAAGTCACAATTCTTTAGGTCAATTCAGTGGATTACTTCAGCCAACAATTTTATCCACTAGGCCATATGGCTCAGTGGATAAAGGTAATTTAGAAGAATCTAACCCGGTGGATGAAATAAAGGGTTCAGGTCAAAATTACAACCACCTGAATAAGGCTGGAGCATGCAACAACCAAAACTTTGTGAATATGACAACAAAAATGAGGACAACAGTTCAAACAAATGTAAATAGTACTTACGATACTACATCTCAGAAATATAGACAAGTATATGAATTGACTGTATAAATATTAATATTTAATATATTTTGTAAAATTTTCTCTTAATAAAATGAATATTTTGAATGTTTGCTTGTTCTTTCTGTATGCATTAAATGATAAGTGGAGCTAATAACCAGTAATCACTATGCTTTGTTCTGTAATTTTTACAGGTGTGCCACAGGTGAAAGCTGGCAGCAGATAATGCTTTCATGTCTATCAGGCCGGCCATGTGACCCAGAATCCAAAATGTTAGACAATTCATGCGGATTGGACATCGCTTATATTTATTTTGTTACTTTCATTTTCCTATGCTCGTTTCTTGTAAGTATTGCATTTCAAATCTAAAATTTTGCTACGTCTTTACATTGATGTTATTCTGTGGATCACAAAGTAGATATCATTATTATATTTTTGATAAAACAATACTACATAATTATTTTTGTACTTTATAGAAATATATTTCTATTTAACAATTAATTTTGAACATTTTTAAATCTGAATCTACATTTTGAGAATTATTGTTACCATTTTTATGATCAAGCACTTAATATGTCTCTTTTCATGATAAAAGCTATTGTTTTTTTCCTTTTTTTTAATCCTGTGTCCCTTCAGAATGTAGTCAATGATTATCAACAGATTTTTATTTATTATCTATGAATTGAAAGATATGGGAAAGATAGTGGAGTAGTTTCTTATTGCTTTTTCCATGGTTTAGAATTCAGAGTTTTCTTCCTCTTAGAACGGTTGACATTCAAAGTTAGAGAGCCCAGTCTATCTTGCTATTTATCTATTGAAATCTTTCCCTAAAGAATTAACCCAGAATTTGAACTTAACTTACCAATTTCACTTTTCTTTAATATCTGTTACCACAGCTGCATATCCTAGGAAATTCAAGAGTATCTATAGCAATTTCATATTACTATAAATACAAGTGTGCACTGAAAAGTTTTTACTTGAACTCAATTCCCCAAATTTGACCAAATAACCAAACATCAGAATTTGTTTTGGAGTCAGGCTTCTTGATCAGGCACAAATCTTTTCAACACATTTTAATATTGTATAAAATATATGAATTTTATATTATTACTGGCTGTTTAAGATGATTGATGATGTGTTGTAATGCATTCTTTCCTTCATCTTGATTAAAGCTATCTACAATTTGCACTGCAGTAGTCCAGCTGGTTGGAAAGTCTCCAATTATTTCTTGCATTGATAAGTCTTGGCCATAAAATTCCTTGTCAGTACTTGGTAATTTTTTCCTTCTTGTATCATTGCGGATAGCTACACACCACAACTAAATGTGCACTTCCTACCAGCCATACTTTCCAGAAAAGCTCTAAAAAGTTGTCTGTCCATGACAATTTGGTCTTTATCATAGTCACTCATTTTTCTTCTGGCCTTTGACTGCTGCATTCAACAACACATCAAAATGAAATACTTGGGGTCAGCTTCCTTGATTATATACTTGTGACCCTGATATATGTAGTTATGAGACTAGCTGTATTTTTGCTACATGTCAATGTTCATAATATTTTGGTTTATCAACGTATAATTATATATACTTAATATATAATTATATATATAACAATTGATATCTTATATTTATTATGCAAAAGAGAGATTTGACATTCTTCAGGATAGCAAAATTACCCACCTCCCTCTTCCTAAGTGCCACATCCCTTGTGAACAGGAGGAAATAATAGCTAAAAAAAATTTAATAACATTTATAACTTCATCTTTATATAATATATATGTGCATATAACATTTATAGTATCATAGTTTTCACTAAATGCTTATGGAATTTTTATTCAGTACATTGCACTGTCATTTTTAATTAGATTAACCTTAGATTTTAATTTTTTAACTGATTTAATTTTGAAGTTAAAATTTTTTCCAATTGCTACATTAGCAGATACAGACTATCTTGTATAAACAAATTTTACAAGATTAAGAATAGTCAGAGAGTAGAAAGAACCTGAGGTTGTAACTTCTAAAAATTAGTCAACTCACAATAAAAGGAAAATAAGGACCTTAAAAATTATCTTAGATTGCCATATGAAAGTGAGGGTACATATATCTACAAATTTTTGAAGTATATAATTGTGATCATTTTCTATTTTTATAGATGCTGAATCTTTTTGTTGCCGTTATAATGGATAATTTTGACTATTTAACAAGAGATACTTCAATTCTCGGTCCACATCATTTGGATGAATATAGTAGAGTTTGGGCAGAATACGACCCATTAGCAAGGTTGGTATATCATATTTTTAAGTGAAAATATGTAAATGTGACTTTTTTATTATAATATAATTTTTCTTACAGACAAATTTTAGCTGAAGAAGCTTTCATTCTGTTGGTCAAAAAGCTCATCAACAGCAGATATGACTTTATCATCAATGTGGTACTGATTTCCAGTCAAGTTTTTTTTTCATGTTAGGAAACAGATGATAGTCAAAACAAAATAGGGTGGGTCATCAACCACTTCAAAGCCACAGTCATACACAGAAGCCATTGAAATCAAGGACTTGTGTGCTGGAGCATTATCCTGATAAAACAAGACCCCTTTCATCAGTTTTTCTGGACATTTGGTCTTGATAGCCTTTTGTAATTGCCTCAGCAATTTGACATAGTACTCTGCAATGATTGTGTGGCCCCTTTAGAGATAGTCAATAAACAATGCCTTTTATATAAAAAAAAAAAGAGTGAAGCCATCACTTTTCTGTAGATGAAACAACAATGGCCTTCTTTGGAGCAGGTGAGGAGAGGCTGTTTCCACTGCATGGATTGTCCCTGGCTCAAAGTGATGAACCCAACTCTCAGCTTGGGTTAGGAAACGTTTAAGAAAATCAGCTGGATCTGCCCCAAACAATATCAGATTTTCCCATGATATGCTCAGCTTGATGTACTTTTGATCAGGTGTTAGAAGATGTGTTCCCCACCAAGCAGAAAACTTCATCATACCAAGTTTATTATGCAGAATATTCCCTACTCTCTCACGGGATATGCTAATAGCATTGGCTATTTGATTTATAGTCAATTGCTTGTAATCCATCACCATGTGGTGAATGTGATCAATGTTTTCCTTGGTGGTAGCAGTTGCAGGACATCCAGACCTTGGGTCAGCTGCAAGATTCTCCCTTCTCCTCCTAACTTTAGCTGTCCACTGTTGATAAAGCTGGAGCATCATCCCCTAATGTAGCAATTATGTCAACATGTTTGTCCCCAGGGGCTAAAACCTTTTTAGCAGGTACTTGATAACACTACAATGCCAAATTTTGTCCATTTTCCCACTAAAATGTCAACTGAATTTGTTTTACAATTAAACTCTGAGAGTAACTTTCTGAACAAAACTTAACAAATTATAAAAACTTTATAACACTGAATTATGTTAATATCTATTAGCATTATTAAATTATTTGTATTAATGTCATTATTCCTGAATGATGATAATAAGTAATGAATTCAAGTAAAATTAAAATATAAAATATTTACTGCTGGCAAAAAATATTGAAACATACTGTGTGTTGTTCTGCTTTTGTTTTTACTAAATCATCAGCAGCTGCTCCTAATTTCTGCTACTATGCATACTGCCTGACTTTACTTGTTCCCAAAATTTACTCTATATTTTCTTTGGAAATATGCAATAAAATATTGTGGAAAGAGATTACTGCAAATTGAATTTTGCTTATCAGTAGTACAAATTTTCAGAATATCTGCATACAAGATTGAAGTATTTATTACAATATCTATAAACTCACCGAGTCTCCTTAAAATGCCATATGATAGATTTAAAAGAAATAATATGATTTAATTTAATGAACAAAGATTCTTAAAATTTTCTACAAAACAATTTTTATAGGGTAAGCAATGTGTAACTTGCTTCTGATGAATCAATACCATTTTGTGTTTGTATGTGTGTACATCTATAATTAAGTGTTTGTATACATTATCAAAAATGTTCACTAGTGCATTTTTCATTTCTGTATAGTGGACTCTTCTGGTGATATAGTAAAAAGAGTATTTTATGTTATGTTAAATTTGATAAAAATACATAATTATTCAAGGATAAATAATTTCATATTCAATTTAATATTCTGAAAGTATTGAACATAAACAAGAAAATGCAGAGCAACAAAACAACAAATTATAAGCTTACTTAAATATGTCAGCATTTTTAATGACATGGCTAAATGAGTATGAAATAAAATCAACTTTTATAATGTTTGTGTGTGAATTTCTGGGATGTGGAATTATCATTACCTACAATAAGACTAATGTCCTCATCTTTGTTATTATTATCATAAAAGTTTGACCATTTTTCCTTCTGGTCCTCTTCAGGTATCTGTTAATCTGGATAACTTTCAAGGAATTTTGAACTAAACACTTTATTAATCTACAGTGGTAGTCATGAACAGCTGAATGGTTACAATCTAACTCTGTAAATTAAATAAAGGCTTCAACTGGAAATTTCCTGAATGTTATTTGGATTGAAAGACATTTGAAGAAGGCTGGAAGGCATAATGGCTTAAATGTTTGAGATAGTAGCAACAAATACAAGTACATTAGTCTGACTGTAAATAATGTAATTATTGTATGTTCACCTAAGATTTTCTGTATTATCTATGCTGAGTTAGTGAATATGGAATTTACTATAGTCTTAGAAGCTAGAATTGCAAGTATGTCTTTGTGCTGTTGCATTCTTCAAGGCTCCAAGTATAAGGAACTTGTTGAAGATCGACATCACTATATTAGAAATGGGTTGAATTGGTGGATTTTATGACATATCAACACTTGTTGGGTTATTTAATATTGAAATATGTTTTTGTTTATACTTGAGTTTGTAGGTAAACATTGATTGGATTTATACTTGAATGTATGGGTAAACATTAATCATGTTTATACATGAGTCTACAAGCATCCACTTGGAAATTGGCTCCTTTGGGGAGGAATCTTACTGCTCTGCAGGGGAAGCAGTTGGCATATTGTAAGGCAAACTGAATTCTAACACTGGTAGGGCAACCAGTTGAGGAGAAAGACAACTCAGAATTCAAAATCATGTAGAGGACAATGGGAAACTACTCCAGTATTTTTCTCAAGAACAGTTGTGGCAATTCACAAACAAGAGGAAACTGAAGAGCCATGATTGCCTACATTCTGAGTGAATATGGCATCTTCAAAAATATGCTTTAATTAGTTCCATTTTATACAAAAGTTTTTTTTTTTTACTTGAAATTTATTTTTCTTAAAAATTTTTTTTCCAATTTAGTTAATATATTTGAGTATTAAATATTAAATTGTCTTCAGCATAAGTGATTATTGGCAATGTCTTCCCACCTCACAGATATTAAACAAGAGGAAGCTGGGAAGAGCCATGATTGCCTACATGTCCATTGCCCTTGTGTCCCTTTTGCAGACGTCCTTGAATTGAATATGTCATCTTTATGCCCTCTTCCTGTACAGAAGGACCTTTGGAATCCTCCTATCAGTAGACTGTAACTTCCTGTGTTTTGCCGTCATAGTGAGATCCTGGAGTGTCCTCTCCAGGATGCAGACCTAGATTTTTATGATGGCACTTATATTTGATACAAAAGAGTATTGACTAAAGTAGTAGTATTCACAAACAGCATCAATTTAATCCTGCTTGTTGTTTTCTACATTTGCATGGATCTTCCAATCATAGCTTAAACATTCTTTTGCATTTATTACTAATGCTGGAAAATGATACATGGTAGTTTCCTGATGGTTTGTTCATCCAAAGAATGCTGTAGAATGGCTAAACCAAAACATTGTGGCAACAATGAAAGCAACAAAAAATGATTTGTTTTTACATTTTAAAAAAATCAATAATCAATACTGAAGTTTTAAAGTTGATTTTTTAACAAAATTTACTTTTGACTTTACTAGTTTATTTGATGGAATTTGCTGGGTTGTGTAACCATTACAAATGTCATTGGGAAGGGTATGAATCCACTTCTTCCTATGTGTACTTAATGGCTGTGTAAGGTAGTGTAACAGTTATCAGCATGACAAATGGAATCAATAAACTTCAGATGACTGACATGTTCACTTGGTACAAATGTCTTTGAAAAATTATGAATCCACTTCTCTGTGCTTTGTTATATCATATAAAATGTAAAAATTCATTAGACTACTGTATTAATAAATTATTATAGAGGCAGTCTACAATTTATTTTTATGCACTTTTCAAGTTTAGTTATTTTTATTATACAAATGCATTTTATGAATATGAGAGTACATCAATAAGCCTGCAGCCTGACTCAGTTATCACTAATTTTGTATCTGAAATTTTTGCTGTATAGTTGATCATCTATTTGATTAACAAAGATGTGTTGTACTAAATGATTTGAAATGGAATGTGATGATTTGGTTAATGGAGTTAATGACATTTCAACTCTTGCTAGATCATTCAATATTGGTCATTAAGTCCATGAGAAAACATTAGTCTGATTTTACTTGATTCTATAGGTAAACATTGGTCAGGTTTATACTTGAGTCTGCAAGCAAATATTGGTTTGATCTTTCCATGAGTCTATAGGTAAACATTGGTTGTGCTTAAATTTGAGTCTGCAACTTGTAAAGTATTCCATTTGAAGATGTCTCTTACTTTTTGGAGATCTACTTGGTGCATTCTAGGCCCTGCTGATCCAATGAAAGGAGATGATATAAAAAAGTAAATATTTTTTGTGCAAAATAAATTATTTTTTCCATTATGAGGCCATGAACTTATTGATTTACCTTCACATATTTTTAAATCTATTTTTGTTTGGTTATAATCATTCTGTGTTTATATTTTTTTAATATCATTATAGAAACTTATCCGTATGAACATGCCTTTAAAAGAGGATGGAACAGTACACTTTTCAACAACCCTATTTGCTCTAGTCAGAGAATCATTGTCTATCAAAATGAGTACTGGTAGGTGATTTTGTTTAATCATTTTTTTTATTTTATTTCAATTGTTGTGTTTTAGCTGATAATCTTTTACTCATTTGAATTTTTGATATCTCATAACCAGAGACAAGAGGGGATTATGCACCCCATTTTTTCTGGCTTTTAGGTTGCCCCTCCACATTTATACACCACAATGAATATATTTTAATAATCTTAGATTTAAAAAAATCCAACTAAGTACCCAAGCTATAGTTAATTTCTGTAAAGTTTGACTATTCTGTTTGATTGCTGACTGATATTACTTATAATTAAAAATGGATTTTCCTATATGAAATAACATTGCACTGTTATCAAGTAAAAGTTCACAAGCAGAGAGAAATGACTTACAATGAATTTGAAAGCTGACATAATAATTACGGAATTAAATCTTTATCATTGCAGTTGCTACCACAACTCTTTGGAAGAACATTTATTTAAAAAGTTAAAAAAAATTTTTAAATTCCATTTCTGTAAATTTTTCTTCCCATTCCACAAAGCAAGAGAACTATAAAGTTCATAGAAATTGTAAGGATTTTCACTGTCTTTCTAAACAATGTTTCATAAATTATAAGTACATGTTATACACGGGGATGTGTGGAGATATAGTTTTTATTTATTACTGCATAAAATGAAACCAAATTAATAGTATAGTATTGAAATAACATATTTCAAATTCTCAAATTTAACATGGAAAATATTTCTTTCTTTAACAAGTGACCATACCTGCTTTCTGATAGGACACATGTTTTTCCATTCCCAAAACAGATTTGTATAAAAATGTTTGGCCAAGCAACATAGTCATGAATCATCTGGCTATAAAGTTGAACAAGTTATAATCCACTAAACACATTTTTTGTTACTAATAACATTACTACTAATAAAACATTGATAACTAAGTCTTATTATCAAAATTTATCAGCACATACAGTAAACATGTCCCAACTTAATACAAAATTGTATATAATGTAACAGATCAGAGGTTATATTTTCTTTGTTGCCAGCATTTTTTCTTATATTTTACTTATAACTTTATATGATTTATTATTTAATTTATCTATTTTATTTTATTGACATATTAAAAGGATCTATAGGTAAAGTTTGTTAGCTTTATTTTTTTATCAAGATGGAAGAAACCCTGATTTAGCATGATTTTATTTTTTAATAGGGTCATACTTTATTTCCATGGGCATCCATTGGCAGGGATACAAACAGGCCATTTTCCTGGTCCCTTAGATGAACAGATTTTCATTTATATGCATTTATATTCAATAGAAGATAATGGTTCAGTACAATTATTTTTCATAATTCTAACTTTATATTCTCATATAAAAAGATATTCATTATTATTATATTTCTGCTATGGTCACACTACCTACCTAGTCTGTGGGAAGACCTAAGGCAGGTAGTGGTGTATTATAGCTACATTTTATGATTTGTTTTTCTCTAACTTTACATGGACAAAATTCTTCTTCGTGTGTGTACTTATCAAGACAAAATTATTATTATTATTATCATCATTGTCATCATCATCATCATCATCTGCTGGTACTCACATGTTCTGAATATCTCTTTCATCTCCTTGATAAAGTGGCAGTGACTCCTATGACTTACAAGTTGTCAAAGGTAATATTGGAAATTAACAATAAAGAGAAGACTACCTCCTTCCAGAAATGTAGATAACTAGCTTGAAGATATGTCTATGATGATTTTTAAAACTTTTAACCTTTAAGAATTAGTTTGGTTAGTATCTAAAGATTAATGGTAAGGAAACATTCAGCATTCATTTACCATGCAGCTAATGCTACTTTCGGTTAAAATATATAAAATCTTCCTGTTAAAACAATTTTTCAGGAAAATAGTTTTCTCAAGTCCACTAACTGTTATCCATTATTGATAAGGGCCTCTTTCCTAACCTTTATTTGAAATAATGTGGAATGTCAACATCCTGATTATGTCATTATTTTCTCTTCAAGTTACATGTGCTATCTATTTTACTTATTGTTGCTGTTGAAAGTCTTTAAGTGATGTTGTTTCTGTTATTTAATACAGTTCTTTGTTATACTGTAGCGCCAGTTTACAAGGTTTGAAGAAAGAAAGGCCCTCATTGAAACTTACAAGTTTTATTTGCTCAAAGCCATTTTTAACTTTTGATTTGAGAAAGCTGTTGCATACAACTGACAGTTTAGATATTTCTGAACAAATTTGGCAGTGTGTATAACAACCATATGAAAGCCTCAATCTGGCAAAGATATTTAAAAACATGACTCAAGTTTTTAGGCTAATGTTTTGGTTTTGTAACAACTTGCAGTGTTGGATGTAACTACTCCTAGCACATGTTCAAATACCTTTTCTACATTACTAAATTTATTATAACTGATCTAGGTACTTGAAGTGCTTGATATTTACTAAATCCACATCCTGATTTTTTATTATGGATTCAGGGTATGTGCCCTCACTATTTTTATTCCAATTCCAAATCATAGTTTTTGTTTTGGAAATGTTTATCTTGAGCCCTATTTCTTGGAACATTAAAGGATGTTAAAAAATCATTTGGGGTGTCAAAAAGCCATTTGCAAACACTAACACCAAAATATGTTCAAAATATGCACTAATCTACTGCTATTTATCTTCAACAATGGTAAATTTATTTTACTTTCAAGGTAAATAAATATGACTTTGATATTTTTACTACTAGTATGAATTGTGTTTACAAACACAAAATTGTATGTTTTCTTCTGGAAATGTATTGAAAGTGCACTAATTTCAAAATCTTCCATGGTAAATTTATGTCCATGATCAGATAACATATCTCCTTTCCCAACAAAACTATTGCTATTACAATTTATAAGCTAACGATAAGAATAAAAACAAAAGTGAAAGAATTCTGAACGAGGTTAGCTAGGTTATGTAGCTAAATACATCAGAAATCAAAAGCTTAAACCTAAATCCTTATCTATTATCTATGTGAAATTGTAACTGGCATTTGTTGCATTTCTTACTGCTCTGATATATATATATAAGATTGAATTCATTAATAAGACCATTATTAATCTGAAGAAGACCTTTTAAGGATGAAATGCATGATATAGGAGTTTTTTCCATTTTGTTATTGTCCAATTACCCACATGTTTTCTTCTACAAAACACTTTAAAATCATTTTCATTCATTGTCAGATGAAACATGCAAGAATTTTTTGTTTCTTCCGCACTATATTCTTGTAAAATAAGACTGCATCTTCCCAGTGATGGTAATATGTAATAATTTTTTTGAAATCATACAAAATTCTGAATATAATTTTAGCTTGGTTGTAATATCCTTATTTTTTTCTCCTTTTTTACCTTTTTAGAAGATATAATTTAATCCAGCATATTTTTTTTTATATTCTTGGTAAATATTTCAGAATTCTATGTATATCCTAATTTGATTTTATTCTGATTCATCTTTGGATAAATTTGATGGCTTACATATGTATTGATTTTAAAATATTTTTTCTAATGATCACTTTTATCAATACACAGCCGAGGAAATGGATAAAAAAGACGAGGAAATGAGAGAAGTTATTAAACGAGTTTGGCCTGTACAAGGCAAAAAAATAGTTGATCTCTTAGTGCCTCCTAATCATGGTAAGTATCATTATTCATATTAACTGGGTGAATAATTAATTTACTCTGAAATAAAGATGATATATATATATATTTATTTATTTCAGATATTTAAAAACAAAATCTTACTTAAATATGAATGTGTACTTATCAACAATTTAAATCCACTTAGCATGATTTACTGGTGACTGGCATATGTATTATGCTTATTATATGAAGTGCGACCTAAATGTTTTAGAGGAATTCCAGCATGGAAAAAGTTTACTTCCCTTAAAAGCTTAATCATCTCCTTTGAAGAGGTCCTTGCCTGTTGGCTATACACTGGTTTACAAACGTTACTGTTTGAAATTTCATTTTACACATAGTGGGTCATACAAAAATATTTGAAGATAGTAATAAATCTTAATAATAATAATAACTACTCATTTGTATGTATACTCCTCTCCTAGGGTGACTAGCTAATCCCTGTTGCAGATACTTGCTCAGACACATTTCGTGTTTCTTCAATATCCACAGAGCTAAACTGTGATTTATGTTGCCACTATGCTGAGCAGACCTTAGTTATAGTTTCTGACCTGATCAGTAGTTAAACAAAGCCATTATGCTCAAATCCTCAGTTACAAAGACTTGTAACTTTGTATTAGTACAACCATCAATGGCTTCTGAACTGTTTTGTCTACCCTATTTCACTCACAAGGATTGGGTCAACCCGTGGTATGGTTTTCAGGTACTTCCCAACAATGCCAAATACTGGGATAATCTCATCACACAAATCAACCAAGATGAGATTTGAACCTAGGTTTCATGGTCTGAATGCTAATGTTCTAACCAATCAGTCATCTACACACATTCTTTTATACTATTACATTTTTATAATTTAGTAATAAATAGAGATTTTCTGTCATCTATTAGTTTAATTAATGACTTTTTCTAAGTTCTTGCTTATTACTAATACTAGTGTTACAGTCATATACCACTGTTTAAATTTTGGGAACATATTTCTGCGATTGTGTGTAATATCAGGTTTTGTCATTTTTGACCATCCATTCATCAGCTCTTTCTATGAAATGATCATAAATTTAACAGAATTTTCATCACATATTGGTATGGCAAGCTAAAAATATGGTATGATGTTTTGTGTTATGTTTGGTTATTCATACTTCAGTGGTTCTAAAAGATGCTCATAAATTGAAGTGAACTTTCATCAATTATGGGTAAGGAAAGCAAAAAACGCAAACATGCATTGCATTTTACAAAGCAACAGAGACTGGCTTTTATATATATATATATATATATATATATATATATATATATATCATTGTATGTGTTTTCAGACTAATTTCCTTTTTTTTTTTGTTTGTTTTGTTTTTCATAAAGTTTTGGCTGTGTATCCTGTGAAGGTGACTTTCCAATGTACCCAATTAAACCCTACCAGCATTTCCCTCTCTTGAATTGTGCTTTTGAAACCTTAGGTTCATCACTTGTTCCTTCCTGATTATAGGCTCCAGAAAGTTACTAAAATCTATACTTAGTCTGCTGATTGAATAAATTGCATATAGTATGTGAGTAGATCAAGGTGATCCTTATACATATATATTATATATTATATATATATATATATATTATATATATTATATAGTATTACCTTGGAGTATATCCATTCAGCCTTCTCATTTTCCAGTGCTTCTCCCTGTAAAATATTTTAACTTCATTCCATGTTGGCCAGTGCCCTCTCTTTCTTGACAATGTTTAATATGCCTCCTACTCCTTTAGACATGTTTAATATACCGACTTTCTCTTTATATATACTTGGTGTGTCATCCTCCCTCAGTACACATGAAAGAGGTCAAGAGAGAACACTCCTAAGAAAACATAGACACAGGCACTGAACATGACCTAGTCTGGTTGATCATCACTATTGAAAAATGAGTTCAATCCTCACTGGGTGCTCCATACTTGTGACTTTGGAAAAAGCTATGATAAACAACCAACCTACATTAAAACACCTTGTTTAACAAAATTTAAACAAAAACAGTGATACTAATATCTTTTTATAAGGACATCTATAAACTTTATTATAAGGACATCTATAAACTTTTTAAAAATCATTTCACCCCAAGCAATGCAGGAATGCCACTAGTATACAGGAGGTTACAGAGAGTGAATTTGAAAGAAAAGACTAGGTATTGATGAGTAAAGGATAAAAGATGAACAGGGTTCAAGAAGATAGAAAATGATCCTTGATGTTGCATTTAAATTTTTGAAGGTTGTAGTTATCAGGGAAGCAAGGAAATGGAAGGGAGTTACACAGGCGGGAAGTGTGAGAAAAGAAATTGTTGGAGTAGAGGTGGCAGTTAAATTTGCCTAATTCAACAGTAAAAGATACCAATCTAGTAGCACATTTAAACTCATGTAGTCTAGGTACCAGGGCAAAAAGCTCGTCAGAGCAATTGCCATGAAAATATTTGTAGAAAATCCAGAGGGAAGCCACATCACATCAGTGAGAAAGTGACTGAAATCAAATTGCCAAGTCAGGATTGATTACATTGCAGATCCTTCTTTGGATTTTGTCAAGAACCTTGAGATGAGAAGCAGGAGCACCTAACCAGATATGGTGACAGTATTCAATGAACAGATAAATGATAGATTTGAACAAGATTTGTGCAAGATGGACTGTGATGAGAAAAACCTTCTGGCATGACACAGTGACCCAACTTTCCTTGCAGTAGAAGAAGCTATTGATTCAATTTAGTTGTTCAATTGAAAACGTGAGGCCAAGAAGGTGCATTGTGTTGCTCTTCATGAGTCTAGGAAAGTTTCTCTATGGTGGTTAAATGAGAGCAATTTCATTTTGGAGGCATTAAAATTTACAAGCTATTACCTGCCCCAGTTAACCACTAATTGGAGGTCCTTTTCAAGAGCAACGGACAAGTTAACTTTATCAACTCTGGCAGATTTGCTATTGAGACAGGAGTAAATGGTAATGTCATCAGTATAAATGTCTACTTGGGAACTGCTGACATCAGATAGATAATTGATGAAGATCAGAACAGCATAGTACCCAGGATATAGCCTTCTTGTGAAAGAATCTGAAAATGCAAAACAACCTTCATTTCATGATTTGATAGTAACAATTGGATTAAATGAAACAAATGTCCAGTAATACCTTAGCCTTGGAGCTTATATAGAAAACCAGCATGCCAAGCCTTGTCAAATGCAATCAAGATATCTAGAGCCACAGTTTGAGCTTCACCATTATTATCGCTTTATTATAAAAACCCCAGAAAATGTTTTCTAAACTTAGACAAATGGAAAATTTTGCCAGCATATCTCTTGCTTTTTAGATGAATATTCTTGTATAATTTTCTGAGTAAAAATATCTTCTTCAGCCATCATTTTTCATCTGGATGATTTATTACATTTCCTTTTATTGAAATGAAAATATCTTTTGAAACTAATCTTATCCTCAATTGTTTTACAGAATTAAATAACGGAAAACTAACTGTAGGAAAAGTCTATGGTGGACTTTTAATCGCTGAAAATTGGAGAGCGTATAAAGCCAGCCAAAACCAAAATAATAGTTTGAAAACAGTAAGTAATGATTTTCTTTCTTCCTATTTTCTTCACAATATTTATTTCTCATTTTCATTCTTGAGTTGAAATGCCAAGTGTACACAGAATAGATGGAAATAACTCAAAGTCACAGAAAACAAAGTAAAGTGTGCTGAACTGCAATGTAATATTTAATCTCCTATATGGCAGTGAATGCTGGAAATCTCTTCATAGATGAAGAAGAGATACAAAGCAACAGAGATGTAGTTCTACTGATGGATTGAACATGTGAACAATGAGGAAGTTTTAAAGAAAATAGGAAGTAAATGTATACTTACAATCTTTTTGGAGTGAATGGATAGCAGAGTGGAAAGAAAGAGGGATGGTAAAATGTCAAATGTTGCTTAGAGAGGGAGCCTTGATCATTCACATCTTGTACAGATACATTATATAAAAGAAGACTTGGATTACAGGTGTTTCAAATATGATTAAAAATAGGGAAGTTTTTCATTAAGCAAATGATCTTACAATTAATTAGTTACAATTATGTGTGGAGCAACTTGCATAATGGCAATTGTTGGCTGGCAGTCGTTCAAGAGTCTACACTATTGTCTGTTTACAGAAAATGAAAGAAAGTTATATTAAAAAATCTTTATTTCAAAATAAATATTCTTATGATTCTTTAATGGATAACATTTGTGCTATTTATTTTCATTTTCAGCTCGATTTCCTGATGTCTAAACATAACATTTCATATTTGATAGCTTATAAGATATATGTTCTACAAATATTACTTTTGAATTCATGTTAATCTTCTTATCCAACTTACTGGTTGAACAACTTGAACTTTTCAGTTTCTTATCCATAATACCAGTACATCAGACAATATTTTTTCAAAGAAAAAATGTATGTTTTATAGGCTGCAACATATAGTAATTTCTTTTAAATGTAGATTTATTTTAGATTAATTTGTTAATTGTTATGAACTAATTTCTTTACAGAATTAATTTGGTTTAAATAATATTTTATTTATTTCTGGATTAAGTTATTTATTCAGTCATTTTTGTGAATGATTCTTAATAAATAATGTTTTATCAATGTATTATATTAAAATATATGAAAAGTTTGTTTATTTTCTCATGAATTTTTCTTGAGATACAACTTTTAAAAAAGAAAGTAGTTGTATGAAAAATAATCCCATGAAAGATTTAAATAGAAAAATAGTTTGGAAATGAAATACTACATTTTATTCAATCTGAGTAAAAGTAATTTTCTATTTCCTTAAACAGTCTGTGATATTATTTTGGTAACATCTGATAAAAACACGAGTAAATTTTTATACATAAAATAACTTTATTCACTCTGCGAAATTAACATTGGCCATGGAAGATATGAAGTTTTTGAGTTCTTCAAATGTTTGATCTTCTTATGAAGGTTTGAGCTTCCTCGTTATGGGTCAGGCATTTATATAACTTTCTGTCATCCAGTTGTCTTGTGTGTTTATCCTAAGTTCAGCTGGATTGTCTTCCTGTTTATGTCAGCAAACCCACCATCACTTTTTGAGGCCCAATTCTGCACTCGGCGTCTATGATATAACCTTGTAGATCAATCCTCTGAGGTAACTAATTCTTTTGATGTTCTGATGTGATATCAAATACAGAGCTTAACTAGGTATCTCTTAGGATGAACCCAGTACATACTGGGTTCACCACAGGTCAACTCCTCTTAGATGAAAGGTTCCTAATGGATATTAGATTAATTTCAGACCTTTGGTTATGAATCACATACTATGAATATATAAGCTTAATAAACATTTAATTTATATAGCAATACAGATTTAAACTAATATTTGATTTATTCTAATTTATTTATTATTTTGAATCTATTACAGATTCAAAATTTTTGTATGCTTTACTCAAACAAACCATAAGGTTATAATTTTATGCATGCTTTAACATGCCTACATGCATTTATATATATATTTAATAGCATAGTGTATTTTTATACTTGAGATATATTTAATATTTTGATAACTTCCTTCTAATCTGAAATATTAAAATGAATAAATTAAATAAAATTCAAAGTATGTCACAGTCTGCATTTAAGTTCATTTAAAAGGCTAATACAGAATAAAATCTTTCTAACTCAGCTTGTATCATATCCAATGAAACATTATTATTGAATTGCTGCTTAATGTGTTATTATGCAATTGTGATTTGTGGAAAATTATTCACTTTTGGAAAAGTTCTATTTTGCCATGATCACTAATCTAGAAGTGTACTTTTTCAGCATGTTCCTTTATTTGTTTCTGCATATATATATATATATATATATATATATATATATATATATAATTAATTTGTATGTACATGCCTTTGTGCCTATAACTTTTTTGCTTATACTCTCTGCAGCATTTTTACATCATAAAATTAGTTTCTGTTTTCAGGGAAGTAAAATAAATATATATTTGCACATGTGTACGTATGTTTGTGTGTATGTGTGCACACTCACACTTACATACATACATACTATATATACATTTTGACCAATGTGTATTTGTGATATAATATATAAATATCTCTACACATATATTTATACACGTATAAGTATGAGTAAAGTTGGATGAAAATCCAACAATAGTAAATATATAAGACAATTTGGAAAACTTCTATTTTGATATTTTTTGTTGTTGAACTAGCATCATCAGAAAAATAATTTTTTTCCTGATGACACTGGAGCAAAATGTGTCAAAATAGAAGCTTTCTAAATTGTCTTCAATTTGCATGTATACATATTTTGAAATTTTTTTATATAATACACTTTGTGTGAAAGTTATTTAAATACAAAGAATTAGTCTTTTTCCTTAATAATGTGTGAGTATATATGCGCGTGTGTCTGTACATATTTCTAATAACACCTGTTGATTATAATCCCTTAATTAGTACTCTCATGAGCATGTTCCTGTACAGTTATTATACTTTTTTTTCAGGAGAAAAAAGAAGAGGTCAGTAAAACAAAGCATGAACAAAATTCAATGTGCAAAACTTTCTCTTCACTCATATTGCACATTTCCATATTTCCTTTCTTGTACTAAAATATTTTGGGAAATAGAGCATACCAGTTTAAAGTTTTCATTTTTTTTTTTTTTTTCATAATTCATAATAAACTATTTTAAAATATCTTTAGATTGACAATTTAAATTTTTACTGGCTACATTTAGAAAATAAAACTTATAAGAAAGTATTATAATAGTGTGCAGTTTTTTTATTGTCCTAATAAAAACTACATTTAGTTAACTAAATGTTTAATGATATAAAATAAATTAAGGAAATTTCTATGATTTTATTTATAAGTGTATAAAGACTTCCATATCTATTCAAAAGTCTTAATTCTTTATCTTAATTAAATTCAATTACTGTATCTTACTTATTTCCTAAATAACTAATACAAATTACTCTTTAATATCTACTTTCTCAAGTTTTTCACTTTCTCTTTATTACACTGAATGTTTGCTTAACTTGCAACTGTATGCTGCAATTGTATTGTTTTATTGTTTCTTCATTCTGGCTTTGTTTCTTTAATCTTAGCTCCTTCATTTTTTTCTCTCTCCTTTCCATGACTTTTGCTGTAAATTCCTTCCTAATTTTCTCCTAAGGCATTTTTGCTGTTACTCTCCACACATCCAACAGGAAAAGAATGTGCATAATGTCAGTTTGTTGGCAAAATGCAGATGTCACTATCAATCATTGTTTATTCTACATTTTGTGTCATTTATAGTTTTCTCTTGAGCACCCATTTGTTCTTTTGCTTGTTTGGGACAAGCTTATTTTCCCCTTCCTATTTTACTTTTGTGTCTCAGGAAGCTATATTTTAATTTCTATTCTTTGACTATTTTAGTCATTTGCCTAAATTACTTGCTTAAATTTTTCTTTTTTTTTTATTTATTTATTTTTAATTTCTGTCTAAAAAAAGTATTCTCACTCATTTTATCTTCTTAATTCTGGTCAGAAATTCTTTTTTTCTCAAAACCCTTTTGCATTCAAGGGTGCATACTAACTTGATATTATTATTATTATTATTATTATTATGATTATTATTATTATTATTATTATGATTATTATTATTATTATTATTATATTCATCATTTTGGATTTGTATATGGCTCTTTGTATTGGCTACATTATTAGACATATTGCATTTGCTTTTTACTGCTGACATTGTACTCTGAATTAACACATGAACTCTTGGTATACAAGCATTGAACAATTTAAAAACTTCAATTTTATAAACATTTAAATGTATAGTATATTTCATAATTGCAATAAAAAATGGACATAATAAAATGAACAACAAGAAAAAATCACAAAATATTTAAGGTAAATCGAGAAACAAGAAAGAATGAGAGAAAAACAATTTTATTTTCATTTTTCCTTCTTTTTTTTTCGTTTTTCAAGTTACCTCTTTATCGTAACTATAAACTATTTGTGATTCTTTCTTGTTGTTTATTTTAATATGTCTGTTTTCATTGCAATCATTAAATTTTGTATCACTTTTAAAATATTTAAACAGTATATTTCAAAGGAACTTCAAAGCAATGTAACTGTTTTCACATTCTAATCTCACTTTCAGTTTATTACCACCTTGCTAAAAGTGCATTTATCCAATAAAAACCTTTAATCAAATTTTCTTTGTCTAAATCTGTTTGTTCAGTTTTTAACTGCAAGAAAATCTTCAACTCTTATTGTTCTTCTTTCTGATTCTGTCTTTTGAGTTTTCACTTTTTCAAATAATTCCATTCAATATATCTTTAAATCTTTTTATTCACTTTTGAAGTGTCCTTAAATCTAGTGCTTGTATTTATCAATTGTTGTCTGGTATGCTCTTATCTCTTTAGTTTTGTGTTTAAATTTCACTCTTTATCTCCACTGTTAATTATTAACAAATGCATGTCCATAAAGTTGTGTTCCTGTTAAATAATGGGTAATAATCAGTAGCTTCATATGTTTGTGTACTTCACTACAAGATTCTGCTTTTATGTG